GGTCAGACCGGACAAGTTCTACGCACCGCCTGCAGGTGTGGTGTAGTGCGGTACCGGTGGCCAACAGCCATCTACGTATATATATATATGTAAAGCTAGAAAATACTTATATATCTCCTCCACCCGATTGTTATTATAATATTACTCAATTTTTACACCTCTTGCAGATCCGCCAGCCAAGGTAGCTTTACCCCGGGGTGGTGGCCGTCTCCGCGTTTGCGCCGGCTTCAGCGTCGTCATCGTCGCATACGACCTTCTTCCTCTTCTTCTTGAGACCAGGTGGAGGTTGGGCTTGCTCCTCTTCTTCGTTGATGCCGTTGGTGCTCCTGCCCTCCTCTTCCTCATCGTCGAGGGCCAGGCTGCCGTCCAGCTCGAGCAGCACGGCCGCGGGGCGCTTCTTTCCCTTGTGTTCCTCGACGCCGTCGTCGCCCTCATCTTCTTCGTCCTCGAGGTGGTTCTCGTCTTCGTTCTTATGGTCCACCGGCTCTTCGTTGGTCGCAGCCTCGATCTCCTCTTCCAGCGCCATCATCGCATCGTCTTCGCTCTTCGCTTTCGCTCTTCTTCTGCTACGGAGCCGCTTGCGTCGGTCGAGGCAGGCCGACTCGTCAGCTTCATCGTCCAACCTGTCATCCTCGTCTTCCGAGTTCTTCATCTCATTCTTCGCCTCGTCGTCTTCCTCTTCCTGTTCTTCTTCCTGTTCTTCCTCATCTTCTTGTTCGTCGTCGTCATTGTCGTACTCGTCCACCACTTCTTGTTTGACTGTCGCGCGGGTACGGCTCTTCTTCGTCCTGTTGCGGTGGCGTCGGTTACGCGCCGAGTACTCGCGAAACACGCGCCGCACCTCCTCCGAGCTCGCCGCCTCGTAGGCCGTGATCGCGCTGCTCGTGCGTGTGCACAACACCGCCGGCCGCACCACAAGCTGGCGATCAGATTCCAAAGAACAAAGAGAGAACGGTGGTGCGGCAAAGGCGCGTACCGGCCATAGGGCCTGTCGATCTGCACGCGCTCCGTCGCGTCGGCCCCATGAGCGAGAAGCAGCTGCACCACCTGCGCACCAATGATTCATTACCATCATAGTTAACAATCGAGCGGGAAAGAAGATGAATGAAAGTCAGGCGGAGTGCACGAGCGAGGGGGCTGTACCTCGGCCGAACTGTTGCGGGCGGCGAGATGGAGGACGGGCGTGTTGCAGAGTTCGGGCCGGGCGCCTCGGCGGAGCAGGCACCGCACGACCTCGATCTGGTTATGCAGGGCCGCGTCGGCCAGCGCTGTCGTGGTTCCCCTGTGTTCGCCCACCACAGGAGACCACACAGCCAACAGGTGATGATGATAGTAAATAACACATTTCACGTAGCGTGTGGGTTGCGGTGGCGGAGAAGGTCAACGTACGCGCGCATGTTGGGGTCGCACCCATTGTCGAGCAACAGCTCCACGAGCTCCAGATACCCCTTGGCCGCAGCTGTGGAACACATACAAACACATCAGTTCAGGCTGCCGCCTCTGGGTGGGTCTCGGGGCACCACGCGATGGGGGAAGAGGAGCGACCTTCGTGCATCGGCGCAGTGCTATAGTGACACATGCCTTTCTTGTCCGCCAAAGCCCCTACAGTACCGTGT